CTGCTAAGAAGACGGTACTTGAGTGGGTCGTCTCGTCGTGGAACAAAGTTCCGCCCCAAACTGTCAATTCATTCAAGAAGACGGGCATATCTAATGCACTTGATGGCAGTGAGGACAACTTGGTGTACGAAGATCTCGAGGCAGACGACGAGGCAATTGGAGAAGAGATCGCCGAGATATTTTATAGCGACAATGAAGACGATGACGAGTTCCTTGGATTTTAGCCAAATCTCTGTGGTTCTCCACATACAAACAAAACGGCCCTTTTCAGGGCCACCACATCCTCCAAAAAGAGTTATACCGCTATCATGTGTGTGTGTGTGTTTGTACAGTACTCATTTCGCCCAGCCTCCCGCCCGCTTCCGGATTTCGATCGCTTTTTTTTCGCTCGCTTTGTTCAATTCGACCGCGCAATTTCCGCTTTTTTTTCGACCGCGCAAATCCGGAAGTATCCGCTCGCGCAATCGCTCGCTCGCTCGCCTGACAGAGCAACCGCCCGCATTTACAGTTCATTACCTACTGTTTCATGTACAAGTGTGTCATTTGTTTTTATGATGTTAAAATAAGAATAAATACAATCTAAAATTTATAGAACGACCGTTGAAAAAATACGGTGGATCACACGGCCATATAAAATTGGTAATAATACATACGCGTAGCAATAATGTCCACCATAAACAAGATCGAACCAAACATGTGAAATCAAATACGACACTGACACAGACACAACTAATATGAAATAAAACCATTCAATTTTTGGTGGAGAGCTAAAAATGTCTACTGTAGAGTATGGTATTCATTGAGTAACCGTGTATAGGGTGATGGTTGTCATGCACGCATGGACGGGTCAAGTTGTAGATATGTAAATCTATGGCACCTATAACAATTGAAGAATATCTGCAGGAATAGTAAGACTGTGAAAAAAAACGACCAATCGATTGTTATAGAATGACAGCAGTGTAAAATTTGTCAAACAAATACAATACTTGCAAATGTAATGTCGGCCAGCGCCCATCTTACTTGTCCGAAGT